AGTCCCAGAAGAACTATGGACAGAAGTCCGAGACATTGTTCAGGAGGCGGCAACAAAGTACGTCCCAAAGAAAAAGAAAACCAAGAAGGCAAAATGGTTGTCTGCTGAGACACTGGAAGTAGACCAAGAAAGGAGGAAAGCAAAAGGAAACAGGGATAAGGGGAGATATGCCCAGTTAAATGCGCAATTCCAGAGGTTAGCCAGAAGAGATAAGGAACTATTTTTAAATAAGCAATGCATGGAAGTTGAAGAAGACAACAGAATAGGAAGGGCAAGAGACCTCTTCCAGAAAATTAGAAACATTGGAGGTAAATTTCAGGCAAAAATTGGTATGATAAGAAACAAAGATGGCAGGGAACTAACAGAAGCTGAAGAGATCAAGAGAAGGTGGCGAGACTATACAGAAGATCTGTATAGGAAGGATAATAATATTGAGGATAGTTTTGACGGTGTGGTGAATGAATTAGAACCAGACATCCTGAGGAGTGAGGTTGAATGGGCATAAAGCATTGCTAACAACAAGGCAGCAGGAGATGACGGGATCCCAGCTGAACTGTTTAAAATCTTGAAAGATGATGCTGTCAAGGTGATGCATGCCATATGCCAGCAAATATGGAAAACACAAGAATGGCCATCAGACTGGAAAAAATCAACTTATATCCCCATACCAAAAAGGGAAATGCGAAAGACTGCTCAAACTTCGTACAGTGGCCCTTATTTCTCATGCCAGTAAGGTAATGCTCAAGATCCTGCAAGGAAGACTCCAGCAATACATGGAGCGAGAGTTGCCAGATGTTCAAGCTGGGTTTAGAAAAGGCAGAGGAACGAGAGACCAAATTGCCAATATCCGCTGGATAATGGAGAAAGGCAGGGAGTTTCAGAAAAACATCTATTTCTGTTTTACTGACTATTCTAAAGCCTTTGACTGTGTGGATCATAATAAATTGTGGCAAGTTCTTAGTGGGATGGGCATCCCAAGCCACCTTGTCTCTCTCCTGAGGAATCTGTACAAGGACCAAGTAGCAACAGTAAGAACTGACCACGAAACAACAGACTGGTTCAAGATTGGGAAAGGCGTACGGCAAGGCTGCATCCTCTCACCCAACCTTTTTAACTTGTATGCAGAACACATCATGCGATGTGCGGGGCTGGATGAATGCAAAGCTGGGGTGAAAATTGCTGGAAGAAACATTAACAACCTCAGATATGCAGATGACACCACTCTGATGGCCGAAAGCGAGGAGGAGCTGAGGAGCCTTCTAATCAAGGTGAAAGAAGAAAGCGCAAAAGCTGGGTTGCAGCTAAACATCAAAAAAAAAAAAAAAACCAAGATTATGGCAACAAGAATGATTGACAACTGGAAAATAGAGGGAGAAAATGTGGAGGCTGTGACAGACTTTGTATTTCTAGGCGCAAAGATTACTGCAGATGCAGACTGTGGCCAGGAAATCAGAAGACGCTTACTTCTTGGGAGGAGAGCAATGTCCAGTCTCGATAAAATAGTAAAGAGTAGAGACATCAGACTGGCAACAAAGATCCGCCTAGTCAAAGCCATGGTATTCCCTGTAGTAACCTACGGATGTGAGAGCTGGACCTTAGGGAAGGCTGAGCGAAGGAAGATCGATGCTTTTGAGCTGTGGTGTTGGAGGAAAGTGCTGAGAGTGCCTTGGACTGCAAGGAGATCTAACCAGTCCATCCTCCAGGAAATAAAGCCCGACTGCTCTGGAGGGAAAGATACTAGAGACAAAGTTGAAGTACTTTGGCCACATCATGAGGAGACAGGAAAGCCTAGAGAAGACAATTATGCTGGGGAAAGTGGAAGGCAAAAGGAAGAGGGGCCGACCAAGGGCAAGATGGATGGATGGCATCCTTGAAGTAACTGGACTGACCTTGAGGGAGCTGGGGGTGGTAACGGCCGACAGGGAGCTCTGGCGTGGGCTGGTCCATGAGGTCACGAAGAGTCGGAGACGACTGAACGAAGGAACAACAACAACAATTCCTTGGCCCTTAAAAAGCTGTAACCAATTCATATATGAGACGTAGACTCACACTCACTTGGATTTTTTAATGATTTGTCAAGAACGGAGCAGAAAGATATGGACTAAGAACCACTAATTTATAAAGATATATATAATCAAACATTTCATTAATTAACAAAACAGCCCTGGCTCTTTCTTTCCACTGGGACTGCTGGGACTATATATTTCTCTTTTCCTTTTAACTTCTTCACTGTTGTGGAACATCATATAGCTGAACTACCAGCTCCAATTTATAACCATTCTGTTTCTGCAACTGAGCCCCTGCAGTACAGCCGACCAGCACAGTTTAAAGCCCAACTGCACATAGGTGAAAAAATCAACCAAATGTTGTGCACGACCATTTCTATTCCCCAATACTATGTTGTGTAGCGGCTTGATCAGTGGATTATGACTCTGAAGACATAGGTTTGAATCCCCACTCAACTATGGAAACATACTGGGTGGCCTTGGGTGAGTCACATTCTCGCAGCCTCAGAGGAAGTCAAAGATAAAACCCCTTTTGCCAAGAAAAGGTTACACAAACCAATATTTTTACACAAACCACTCTGGATTTTTACCTGCTGAAGAAGTGGATGAGTTGTGATACCTAGGCCCCTTCTACGTTGCCATATAAAATCCATTCAGCCCAACCCCCTTCTGCCATGCAGGAACACAGAATTGAAAGCACCCTCAACAGATGGCCATTCAGCCTCTGCTTAAAAACTGCCAGAGGGGGGACTCCAGCATGCTCCGAGGCAGCAGCATAGTGCTGCTCAATAGTGGAATATGCTGTTGAGCAGCACTGACTGTCAAGAAATTCTTCCTGATGCTTAAGGGAAATTAAACTCTTGCTGCCAACCTTTGTGTTTCCATGACTGCTAAATAATCTTATGGAAAGGAATATAATTACTCATGACTAAGTGTTATGAGTAAGAGTTGCCAGGCATTGTTGACATGCTTACCAGTTTTAAATAGTCTTCCACTTTAATCCTCGCTATGTTTATTTGGAAGGGAGTTCCAATGTGTTCTTTATTCTATAATAAAGACACCTTATTGATTGCTATTTTATCACTCCTTTCACTTCTATTACAAGGCATTTCCACTGACGTATTGACACATAAAGAAGAGCAGAAGTTATTTGATTCAGCTTTTAAAACTGGACGTTTTGGCCCAGTGTAATAGTCAAGAACATGATTGAAACAGGGCTATTGAAGATTGTTCATGTTACAGAGCAGGCATGTCCAACCTGCAGCCTGTGGGCCAATGCAACTCAAGAGGACTATGAATGCGGCCCAACAAAACAAAATTGTAAACTTACTTAAAACATTGTGGATTTTTTGGTGATTTTTTAAAATATAATTTGATTGAATGTGAACTTTTGTAGATGACAACAGAACAGAATTAAATATCTCACTAGTTTTATGTTGCCCCTTTTTCTTTAGTTTTGTAATTGAAAAATGTTTTTAAAATAATGAAATTTTATTACACACAGTCTCCAAGTTACAAACAAGACAAGTTCTGTAGGATTGTTCTTAAACTGAATTTGTATGTAAGTAGAAACAGGTACATTTCTTTAGTGTAACTCCAGCCAAATATATATTAGCTTTGGATAGCACAGGGAAGGGCTAACACTCCTATGATGTTTGTTTTGTGGACTGTACCCCTGTTCAGAGGATTTGACCTCACTTTCTGTCTCTGTGATAATTAGATTTTGAAAAAAATAGCTTGTTATGGAAACAAGGTTTGGTGATAAATCTTCAGTGGAGACACCTTTTCCCCAAGATAACTCTTCCAAGACTGAATTTCCTTCATGGGGTAGATTTATCTCACATTGTTGTTGTTGTTTAGGTTAATTATACCCTGCTTTATCTCTCCTGAAGGAGACTCAAAGCAGCTTACAATTAAAAGTATGACCACATAATTTAAAATACACAAATATGCGAACAATAAACAGAATTAAACAGATTTATGCCTGATGGAGCAGGCATACTCAGCTGTTGAGTAAGACAAGGCCAGGGTTGATGTTCTTATTAATTTTGGCTCTGCACCTGATGCACTATTAGTAAGTTTCCGCAGGATGTCATTGTGTGCAGCTACTTTGTGCTTGGTGTTCACACAGTGTTTCCTAAAGGTTAGCGTTAAGTCTGAGGGCCCTTTCACACAGTTCTTGGCCTTCCCAGGTAACCTTCCGTTTCCTGTTGGCTTCACAATTATATTGATGGCAAGCACACACTTGTGTCTTGGCAAGGTTAGGCTTCAGAAGGGGCCTATAACTCAATACTGTGGAATAATGTCAGTTATATTTGGCGAGGCATTAGCACTATTTAGACCTTGCAAAACGACATCTGTGATTTCATAGCATTGCGCCAAAAAGTGGCCAAAGTGATGTCAAACTGCATTCATCCTACAGGGTAGATGCCACAACCATGAATAACTCCTGCCATCGTCACTACACCCAGATGTTGCTAAGCCGGAAGGTCCTATTCACCAATGATGAGAAAGATGTTGTTTATTCATTCAGTCACTTCCGACTCTTCGTGACCTCATGGACCAGCCCACGCCAGAGCTCCCTGTTGGCCGTGGCCACCCCAGCTCCTTCAGAGTCAATCCAGTCACTGCAAGGATACCATCCATCTTGCCCTTGGTCGGCCCCTCTTCCTTTTTCCTTCCATTTCCCCCAGCATCATTGTCTTCTCTAAGCTTTCCTGTCTTCTCATTATGTGGCCAAGGTACTTCATCTTTGCCTCTAATATCCTTCCCTCCAATGAGCAGTCGGGTTTTATTTCCTGAGAAATATATTGGAGGGAATATAGTTTATGGCATTTTTCTTTAAATGGATCCAGAAAGACTTTTCAGGAGTTTATCTTCTTGCGCATGCGCCTGCTGCCACCACAGACTTCAAATCTATCCACCCCCTCTGGTGACAGCCCTTAGAGTGCGCATGCGCTCTTCAGCATCCTTCTTTCCCCCGCCCTTCTCCTCGCACCCCATGGTGGCCTCGCGAGAGTACGGTGGCGGAAGTTGTTCTGCGGCGCTCCCCTGCTGAGGGCGAAGAAGCCGCTGAGGCGGGGCCGCGGAGAGGAAAGGAAGGGAGGAAGGAAGGAGAGAGGGACGGGCGGAGGGGGCCGCTTGGAGCGGAACCCCAGCTGACTTACGGTAAGGGGTGCTTGGCCTAGGCCGGGGGTCCGCCCTGGGGGCTTTTCCCATGGCGGCGGACACACACAGAGCGGTTGTCGGGGGAGGGGAAGGAAGGGAACGGGAAGGAGGCTGGGGTTCGCCTATGCGCGCGCGCCCGCCTCAGCTGCCTTTCAGTGTGTGAGCGCGCGCGGCGCGGGAAGTCGAGGGGGGCCGGGTGGTGCTCGCGCTCTCTGATCTCCTCGCCGTGCGAATGACTCTGCTGCTCCTTGAGAAATGGACACTGCGAGATAAATGCCTTGAGTGGCGGAGAATCTTTCCAGAGTTGGCCTAGTAATTATTAACTTAGGCTCAATGTACACTACTATATCATGCAGTTCCAAACTGCGTTATATGAGTTTACACCGGACATGGGCAAACTTCGGCCCTCCAGATATTTTGGACTCCAACTCAGCTGTAAAGTTAATACAGCTTGATAGCACTTTAACAGCTGTGGCTCAATGCCAAGGAATCCTGGGAGTTGTCATTTTACAATTTATTATTTACCATATTTATATCCAGCCCTTCTCAACCCTGAAGATCCAGCCAAGGAAGCCATGGCTATCCAGGGTCTGCAAAACCTTAGCACTGTTCTTGCTGAAAGAATGACACAGGGCATCCCATAAGTGACAAACCTCTAAGAACCCTTCCACACAGCCATATAATCCAGAATGCCAAGGCAGAAAATCCCACAATATCTGCTTTGAACTGGGTTATCTGAGTCCACACTGCCAAATATCCCAGTTCAAAGCAGGTAATGTGGGATTTTATTAAGCTTTGTGGAAGGGACCATAAATGACAAACCTCTGAGTCAAAGTCAATTTGGCGGCAGTTAAGAACAGAACCTTTAGGGTGGTTGTTCTGATCTCATAGTTTCCATGTTGCACTATGATACTGAAATGAAATTCTCTTATAACACATGCTTAGTGTTAAAGCAGAAGTTGCGGTCAGCAGTTTTCTGTAAAAAGTGGTGGGACGTGTATGAGGAAGGCAAAAATTAGAAGCAACATTTTGAATTGTCATTCACATTCACCTACTCGGGTGGTGGGAGTAGGCTTGTGTGTCTCTTCATAGATGTCGCCTTGGCAAAAAAGACTGGGAAGGAGTTTTGGCAGTTCCTTCCTTTGAAATATAGCATACTGCATCTGGTGGTCCTTGTCAGTTTGCCACTTGAGTATTAACCAGAGCTGACCCAGATTAGCTTTCAAGATCAGACAGAATCTGTACCTCCTCAGAAAATAGATACTTCAGTAATGTGTTTGTATCAAAACTTTGGGAATGCGGGAATCTCCTAGGATTCACAGAATGGTTTCAGAGCAAAGGTAAAAATAGCTGTTGCATTGAAGGGGGATATTTAGAGAACCTTTTTCTGTGAATGCCTGAAACTTACCAAAAGTTTTATACAATCCCAATTTGCTTCCAATATCTTAAAAATGATCCAAGAAAAGACATAAAACTGCCAGAGCCCTCTAGCCAACTTGGCCTGTGGCTAAGAGTTTCCAGGAGTTGTAGGCCAAAGTAATGGTTCCAAGTTTTGCTTTAATTGTGCATATTAAAATGACATTGAGTACATCTATACTGTAGAATCAATGCAGTTCCCTGGGTCTGTGCTATGATTTGTAGTTGAGGCACTAGCACGCTTTGACAGATAAGTCGAAACTGTAACTCTCATGATTTCCCAATATTGAGTCCTGCTGAGCCTAGTGATGTCAACCTGCATTCATTCTATAGTTTAGCTGCACCCATTGCTTCTTAAAATTGTGTGCTGTTAAAAGATGCCTGGTGTCAATTCAAAATATAAAAGAAATGTTTCCCATTTGGGGAAAAACCCCAAGGCTTTATACCCTAAAAACATACTACAGGACACCCAAATTAATTTATTCTTACCCCTGGGCTATGACTTCCATGAGATATCACTGAAAAGAAATGTATCCTTAGTTAAGAAACCTCTACCTCCTCAAGATGTTCTGTTTTTTTGTTTTGTTTGTGTGTTTTTTGTTTTTTTTTGCTTCAGGCTAATTTCTTGTGATAAACTGGTAGATACTTTTTCTGGCAAACATAGCAAGTCGGCTATGTAATGTTATCCCTACAATGTAATGCAAATCCCCAATGCTTAGTTCCTGCAAGATAATTTATTTATTTATTTATTTGATGCACTTATTAACCGCCATTCTCAGCCCTACGGGCGACTCATGGCGGTGTACAGTACACATAAAAAGACAGTTACAAAAGTCAGTGACAACAACATATAACTATGCACAAATACAAACTACATAAAAATCCGCTTCGTCTCCTTAGTAGGCCTCCTCAAAATAAGTTTATGTATGTAATTTGACCATTGGCAACCCCTGCATATATTTTGATAACTCTGCAGTGGGTCATTTAGTGTAATGTTTTACAATAGTAGTTTAACTCATGTATACTTTAGTTTAACTCATTTCAGTTTTTTATTTTATTTGGGAAAGGGATGTGTCTAGTTTCTAAGGAAGGAGCTCCTACTCTAGAGCTCCTACTCCACATTATAATAATGCTTTTCTGATAAGCCTTCAAGTCTTGTAGTGAACCTATTGCAGGGTTTCCTTGGAAAGGTTTGTTTAGAGCGGGGTTGTCTTTGTATTCATCTGAGCCTGAGAGAGTGTGACTTGTCATAAATCAGGAGTGTCAAACTGATGTTCATTAGGGGCCATTTCAGCCCTGTGGTTGCCTTCAAAGGGCCGATTATTCCGTAGATCGATAATCCATTGTTACAAAGGACTACATATAATTTTTAAAACACAATGGTCAGTGCTCTTTAGTTTTTACCCAATTTGGTTCCCCAGATGTTTTTGACCAACAACTCTCATCATGTTCATTATTCACCATGCAGACTGAGGATAGTGGAAATTCCAACTCATCAGCACTTGTGACTTTGGGGAAAGGTTAAAGGACATTTTAAAGACAGATATCATATCCACAAGCCTTGTCTCTGAATTGAAACCCCACTCTCCTGACTAAACAGAACAAACAGAATCCTTCCAGACATTACTGTATCACAACTCCCATCAGCTGTAGTCATGATATGTAATGATGAGGAATTCAGGAGTTGTAGACTAGTATCTGGAGGACCACAGAAGATGGACGGGAGTGGGGGCAGATTCGGAATGTGGGCCTTGGGTTTGACACATGTGTCTTAGATAATCCAGTGGGTTTCCATGACTGATGAGGGATTTTAACCCAGGTTCCCACAGGCATGGTATAATGCTCAAACCACTATACCATGGTGCCTCCTTTTCCTGATTCTAGTATGGCTGTATGAATCACCAGACCACAGGACTCACAATGGTTCATCATGTCAGTAGTATTATTTTTTCATAGTTTGTACAGGGAGGCAGTGGCATGACAAGGTGAATGCCTGACTCAAGCCACCCTTAAAATCAAGGCATACTTGCTCTCAGAGCAGGCACTTACGTCTTTGGATGCTGCTTTTTTCCTGCTTTCCTCACATCAGCCTTTGCAACTTGTTATTCTTGTGTGCCTTCAAGTCATTTCTGACTCAGGGCAATCCAAACTGTAAACCTAACATGGAGTTTTCTAGGCAAGATTTGTTCAGTTTGGAGCTGAGAATGTGCGACTTGCCTGAGATCATGCAGTGAGTCTTATGGTTGCATGGGGATTTGAAACCTGGTCTCTCTGCCCCAGTCCAGTGCTCCAACCACTGCACCATACTAGCTTTCCATTATAATAACACATTGCACTATATCTAGAAAAAAGAAAAGAAGTAGCAATATATGTACTTATCATGTGTTCTTTTTCTTCCGAAAAGAAGCAAGTGGTGATTTCTAAATAAATCCAAAATTATTTTGGTACTCTTAAAAACATGACTAACTGCCCTACATACTTTTATATAACTTTACAGAATCCTGATGCCCTGAAAAGTGTCAGAGAAAAACTTGCTATTTATAAGACCAGACAGAACAGAATTCTTTTCCTGGCACAAAAAGGAAATGGACCATTGTTCTTGCCACTGAAGAGTTCACATAACATCCCCAAATCGTAATAAGAATAATTTGGTTCCTTTGAAAAAAGAGAATTGGCCTTCTTTTTCTTCTTTTAAGACAACAGCCCGTCCTTCCTGTAGGGTGGATGCTATGTGATATATGAAGGAATGCAATGTACATTTTTTTTACAGAGCCAGCGCTTTCTTTTACAGAGCCAGCTCTTTCTGTTGGCCATTAACAAACTAAAAAGCCATTTCCCATCCTAAATTTCATATATGTCAGGGGAAAAATAGAAGGGAGGCATATAAATGCCATAAATAAATAAATAAATAATAAATAACTAGTAATCATTAGAAAACTCAGACCGTGTCTTCTTTCATCTATTTGCTCTGTAATATAAACTGTGGTATTACTACAGATGCAAGATCAGCCACTGCCCACTCCATAGAAAACAAGCAATCTCACACAAGTGAATTAGTAAGGTTGCAGAAAAGAAAGAAAATGCTAACCCCCTCACCTGGCATTCTTTCTACCAATATGAAATGTACCTTTTCCATATCAGCAGCCAAAAATCAGCTACGAACATATTCCTCCCCAATATTTACTTCACTGATTTTTAGAATTGCAGTTTGATCTAAAATGGGAAATACACAAGGGCAATAATTCTTGAGGAAATTATGCATTTTGCTTGCCAGACCATCTCTTTCTTATTGTTCAGTGTATTGTTTTTGCGCTAATTAATTAAATCTTCTTTCTTCTAAAATTAAATCTTTGCTGCTTGCTGTTCCAGCTCTAAGCTACTACAGCCATAAACTAAGAAGGGTGATATTAAAGATCATGTCAGTAACTTGCTAATGCATAGCTTTTCTTTAGCTGTATTTAGCTTTGCAGGTGCCTTTTAATAAGTTACTTGTGCTTTACAGCTTATATTAGATGCCTTGGTAGTCAGAATCCTATTTTAGTGTCATGGGCGCTGTCATGGTTGTAACATGTAGCTTTTTGAGT